AAACTATATATTATTTTAGGAAATAAATACATGTTCACCTTTTATTGGTATTTAGCCTTCATACAAACAAGAAATGTGAAATCACTGTCAAATAAATCTCAGACTCTTCTTATTAATATTAATATTTTTTACTTCAAACTATAGGTTAACATACCAGTCAAAAGTTTTTGAACAGTAAGATTTTTAATGTTTTTTAAATAATTCTCTTCTGCTCACCAAGCCTGCATTTATTTGATCCAAAATACAGCAAAAACAGTAACATTTTGAAATATTTTTACTATTTAAAATAACTGCTTTCTACTGCAAATCAGAATATTAGAATGATTTCTGAAGGATCATGTGACTGGAGTAATGATGCTAAAGCTCTGCTTTGAAATCACAGGAATAAATTATATTTTCAAATAGAAAACAGTTATTTTAAATAGTAAAAATATTTAAAAATTTTACAGTTTTTGCTGTATTTTGTATCAAATAAATGCAGGCTTGGTGAGCAGGAGAGAATTCTTTAAAAAACATAAAAAATCTTACTGTTCAAAAACCTTTGACTGGTATGTTTGCCTATAGTTTGAAGTAAAAAATATTAATATTAATAAGGAGAGTCTGAGATTTATTTGACAGTGATTTTACATTTCTTGTTTGTATGAAGGCTAAATACCAATAAAAGGTGAACATTTATTTATTTGCACCATTTTTTTCCTAAAATATCCAGTCGGAGGACGAGCTACTATCTCACAGATCCCTGCTTCGCATGCGGCCCCTTCAGTACAGGCTGAAACCACGAGTTCCGTCCCACACCTGGCATCTCGGACGCCTTCGTGTCAAGGTGGACCAGGCCTGCGTAGCAGCTCTGGCCCCTTGGAAAGACCCTCAGTGGCAGAGGTCGACCTCTTCGCCTCAGAAGACAACTCTCATTGCCCAACTTACTTTTCGAAGGATAGGGATGCGTTGGCCCACGACTGGCTCAGCCTCCTCCTTTACGCTTTTCCCTAGGGGTGTAAGAAAATATCGATACACGTGAGTATCGCAACATTTTATTTGGCAATACTGAATCGATTATCAAAAACGCAATATCGATATTTAAAAAAAAAATATATACAAGATTCATGGCCATTGTTTCGTTTTGAGTTTATATCCCGACTGCTAGATAGCGGTCTTCTTACCTCTGAACTTAAACAGTGACAACGTGTGTGTTTCGCTCCTGCAAGGTTTGTCCAGTCCTGCCCGCTCCCGCAAACA